GCGCAGAAGCAGTACACCATCCACCACCAGACTAAGACACAGTGGCAGCGATTAAGGAAGGCGAGAAAATCGGACTAAATAGAACAAAAAAACCCACAGCCAAAACAGATCACCAAATCCCGAACCAAACATACAGACAAAACATTAGATCCATGCAGCACAGGACAGAATGCACGCATCCTCACAGCGCACCCAGAGCACCCACGCCTCACGGCCAACACAACAACCACACACACACACACACACAAACACACACACACACCACACACACACACACACACACGCACGCAGACCGCACGCACGCACCGCACGCACGCCTACGCCCACCTGCACGCACCACACTACAGCACACAACACACCAGTAACACGCACATACACACACACGCGACGCACACGCTACCCGACGCACGCACCTGCACATACACACACCACGACCCACAACACACAGTAAGACGCAACATACACAAGAGGCACCACACACGCACATAATACACACACATGCTACGCTGCACGCAACACGCACGCAACCAAGACGCACGACACGCACGCAGCCACTCTCACACACACACACACACACCCACACACACACCACACACACACACACACGCACGCACGCACATGAACACGCGGCACAGCACGCATGCAAATATACAACACAACGCACACAACAGTACACGCACATACACACGAGGCACACACACGCACATACATACACACCACATGCACCGCGCTACGCACGCACGCCACGCCACCCCCCAACCCCGCACGCACGCACGCACTTCTCACACACACACACACACACAGCTACAGCAAGCCCAATAACTCACACACATACGCCGCACACGGCACGCACGCAATGCCTCACATGACGAACACAGCACGCCATGCCACATATACACACACACGCACACACACAGTACACATCCACATACACACAGAGCACACCAACGCACATAGCATACACACACATGCCAGCGCACGCACACGCACGCACGCACGCACGCACGCCACGCACGCACTCTCACCAAAACCACACACACAACACACACAACACAACACCACCACATCACACACACACCCCACACACACACAATACACACCCCATGACAACATAACAAAGAGGGATACGGCCTCGCCACAATCTACGCAGTTGCGGCCGGAAATATTGCTCCCTACAGATAGAGCCCGGAGCAAAAAATTTTTTGTTCTAAACGAAACACGCGCCCGCAATTGCTGTTTTATTGCCTGCCAACAACAAGCATGCCGAGCTTCCCAAACTTAGTAACGTTGCCATGAAGCATCATAAATCTCTCATCTCTCTCTCTCCTCTCATCAGTCGCCTCCCTCTCATCTCTCTCTCTCTCCATCATCTCTACTCTCTACTCTCTCTCTCTCTCTCTCTTCTCTCTCTCCGCGCCACCTTACACCACCAAAACTATTCTCCCTTCTCTCGTCTCCATCTCTCACTCTCTCGGGATCGATCTCTCTTCTACTTCCTCATCCCCTTCTTACGATCATCATCATACCTTCATACCTTCTAAATCTCATCTCATCATACCATCAAACCGCCTCTACACCTAACTACTCACCACACATCAGAAACATCGTCTCCTCTCTCCCTCTCTCACACCCAAAAAAAAACACACCAGAACCCCGAAACAAAACGACACCCACAACAGAAACAAAAACACAAACCTCTCTTTCCCTTAACATCTCTCTTTCTCTACTCTATCCCCTTCTGTCTCTCCCGCCTATCTCTCCCCCTATGCTCCCCTCTCTCTCCCTATCTCCCCATCTCTCTACCCCGATATCCACTCTCTCCCCCTAGCTACGTATAGCATTATTCCGTACGGTGATATCAGATGTTTTCCTGGCGCAAACCCAAAAAACAAAATATAATTCAAACAAAACACATACAACACACATCGCCTCAACAACAACAACCGACAGCCAAGGCACACAGACAAACTTAACCCCCACCTTCACCTAACAACTAACAAAAAAACACACAAAACCAACCTACCGCTCACACACTAACCCCAATACGAGGTTGAGGCTACAAAAAAAACAAAAGAGCAGTGACCTTCTTAACCGGCTAATACCTGAGCCAACGATGTCACTACGCTTCTCCTAAACCAACCCCCAACGCGCACTTTCTCTTACCCTCTTTTCTCTACCCAATTACAAAATCATCACCTGCTCTCTCTCGCTCATCATCAAACATCATAACTAGCTAACTCTCCTCATCTAACCCCCAACTCCCCTCTCTCATCTCTCCTCATAAACCCATCTAACTCTCCTCTCTCTTTCTTCTCTCTCTCTCTCTCTTTCTTTCTCTTTCTCTCTCTTGTTCCCTTACTCGTCTCTCTCTCGCTCTCTCTGCTCTCTCTCTCTCGTCTCTGCTCGTCTATCTCGCTCTCTCTCTTTCTACCCCTTTAACCAAACCAACCAACCACACCAACTCACCCCTCTCTCCTCTCGCTCGCTCTCTCTCTCTTTCTCTCTCGCGCTCTCTCTCTCTCTCTCTCTCGCCCCCTCTCTCTCTCCTTCGTGACCTAACCGCCATCACCTCCTATATATCATCAGCTCCTATATGCTTGTGAAACCCACACGCGTGCACATAAGCGCGCACGCCCCCCCCGCACGCACATATCCCACAGGCTTAACGCAAGCAAGCTCCAGCGTACGTACGCGCCCTGTCATCAGATGGATAGCAAAATCATGATCAGAAACCCAGATGAACCAGCCTTCTCCCTTAATCCCCGGTTGTACGAGCACACGACGGTGCGTTTGCGTATGCGCGTCGCAAATATGGGCAGTAGTAGCGGCGCCATCGCCATCATCATCAGCAGCAGCAGCGGCTGCCGCAGCATCATAAGTAATAGCTTCATTATCATCATCATCGTCATCAACATCACCATCATTCACTATTCGAGAGAGAGAGAGAGAGAGAGAAAGAGCGATACATAGAGAGAGGAAGGCAGAAAGAAAGTGACATACAGAGAAAGTCAGCGAGAGAGACAGAGAGAGAGAGAGAATTAATCAGATATATATTATATATATATAGATAGATAGATAAAGAGAGACTGAAAGACATAGCCATGGCCGATAGTCTGCTTAAGGGTAAGCAGTTCTACTGCCGCGAGTGGGCGTTCGCGAAGATCTACCACTGCCTCGAGAACCGGCCGACGTCGAAGACATGTGGCGCCCTCATCATGGGCGGCCCCGGCTGCGGCAAGACGGCGCTCTGCTGCGAGACGGTCTGGCCGACGTCCAACCACGGCCGCCAGAGGTCGCTGGCGCGGCGCGTGCTCGCGCATCACTTCTGCCAGGCGCACGACGTCGCGACGCTCTCGCTGTCGGCGTTCATCCTCGGCCTCGCTCGCCAGATGGCGCTGTCCGAGCTGCTGCGCGGCTACCGCGAGCAGCTGGACGAGATGGCGCGCGCCGTCGACGCCGCCGACTGCGAACGCGACCCGGACGACGCCTTCAAGCGCTGCGTGCTGCTGCCGCTGCTCTCCATCGGCGCTCCCGCGCAGAACCTCTTCGTCGTCGTCGACTCCATCGACGAGTCTTACCTCGCTCCCGGCAGCAGCGGCAGCGGCGGGGGCGGCGGCGGAGGCGCGGGGTCGCCTGCGGGTAGCCGCACGATCGCGGAACTCCTCGCCAGTCACCACCAGCTGTTCCCGCGCTGGCTGCTTCTCGTCTGCTCGGCGCGTCGGCAGAGCCGCGCCGTCACGCGCATGTTCACCGGCTTCCGCAAGGTGGCGCTCGACGACCTGCGCAAGACGCACGTGGTGCGCGACGCGCAGCAGTACATCCTGTCGCGGCTGGACGCCGAGCCGGCGCTGCGGCGCCACCTCAGCCGCGACACGGCCGAGATGCTCAACCAGCTTCACATCAAGAGCAACGGCTGCCTGCTGTACGTCGAGCGCGTGCTGGACGGCGTCTCGCGAGATCTCGTCGCGCTGCGAGAGGTGCGCGACATCCCGGCGACGCTCAACGGCCTCTACCTGTGGCTCTGCCAGCGACTGTTCGCGCGCGCGCGTTTCGCACGCGTGCGCCCCCTGCTGAACGCGCTGCTCGCCTCGCGGCGCCCCCTATCGCGCGCGGCGCTGCTCGCGTGTGCGCGCGCGCACGACGCCGCCGTCGCCGACGACGAATTCTCGCGTCGGCTGGCGCTGTTGGACGGCGTGCTGGTCGTCGGCCCGGCCGACACGCGCATCCTCTTTCACCACAGCTTCGCAGAGTGGCTGCTAGACGTGAAACACTGCACGCAGCGGTTCCTGTGCGCCGCGCGCGAGGGACACGCCATGCTCGCCATGAGCTACAGCAGCGCCGCCGCCGCAGCCGCCGCCGCAGCCGCCCGCGACGACGACGACGACGACGACGACGCTGCCGCCCTCACGCCCGCCGACGTGCGCGACTTCGCCGTGCACCTGAGCCGCACGACGGTGGCGCCCCCTCTCATGCCCTACCACCTGCCGCTCTGGATGATCGTCTGCGGCGCGCCCGTCGAGACGGCCCTCCAGGGGGCGCCACCGAAGGACGACCGCGCGGTGGCGCTGCTGCTGGCGGCGGGGGCGCGCGCGTGCGGCGTGGATCGGTGCAGTAGGCTGTCGATAGCGTACGCGGGGGAGAGGGAGGACAATATACGCGCGATGCTGGAGGGAGGCGTGGACGTGAACGAGACGGACAGCAACGGTCGCACGCTGCTAGCCAACGCTGCACACCAAGGTACTAGTATAATGATGATGATGATGGTGACGATGATGATGATGATGATAATAAATAATAAGGTATTAATATAAATACATATATATATATATATCAAGAGCTAATAATACCACGGAAATTATTACGGAGTGTACAACGGAAATTATTAACTCTTGATATATATATATATATATACTTATATATATATACATATATATATACTGATATATATACATATATATATATATATATACTTATATATATACTGATATATATATATACTTCGATACATTGCAATAATGGCAATGCAAACCGCGTGCTTGCTAGCATCCCCACTTCACACATGCCCAAACCCACACACGCGCGTCACGCACGCACGCACGCACGCACGCACGCACGCACGCACGCGCGCAGGAACCCACACCACCCCACTGCACACTGGCGCTGGGAAGCTGAGGAAAAATCAACAAAAATCATCCGAATCATTTGACACTGCCAGCTGCTGCCTGGATAAACATGCATTACCCATTACCACGCTTGTCGGCCGCTGTGCGGTGGATGGATGGCTGGCCCCATCACGCAGGACAGGCCCCATCATTAAGCGTGGTCCATATATATGGTCGCTATCCACGGCTAACGCAGTGCAGAGCTCCCACGATGAAAGACGGGTCTCGGACGTGTTGCCACGAGAGAGATCTGGACAACCTCAACGCGTGGAGAGTGAGAGTGAGAGAGAGGGGGAGGGGGAGGAGAGAGAGAGAGCGGTGAGAGAGAGGGGGAGGGGGGAGATCGGGTAAACTCCGCCGCAGGCGCTCACTCGCACACAGGACGTTATGGCTTAATTCTCGCCCAGCACACGGGTCAGCGAGGATTTGATTGATCCCGCTTTACGCTAGAATCTACGCCCGCTTGCCGCCGCCGCCGCTGCTGCTGCTGCTGCTACCGTAAGCCGTCACTGGTTAACGCTGTAGCTCCGTAAGGGGCAATCCGGAAACAGGCAGGATGACATGCGTGCTGCCCAGTGGCGGTAGGGTAATAAGTGTGTAGGGCCCTACTGGGTAGCGGTGAGGGAGGTAGATGTGCAGGAGATGTGTTGGAGAGGGTACGTGTAGTAGGTTTCTCTGTGCAGAGACGCCGAAGCACAAAGTTCTCACGCACGCGCACGCACGCATGAAATGGCGAATTTACGTGGAATTTACCATGGGCTATGTAGTAGAAACCACAATTTTCGACTTGCTGGGTTTTCAGCCTTGGAGACGAGCTACTTCCAAACACTGTAGTACAATCGTACTGTATTTCTCCAAGTGCTTTATACTCTAGCAAGCGAATCGCTAAGCGAATTCACTCTTTCTATTACGATTATGCGGTGTATAATCACAATAGAATAAGTAGCTATATCTCCGGCTCCTACGTACGGAATCCTGATATCTAACACACCGTAGAACGTGATAGGCTGTCTGAATACTGATATCTGTAACACACCGTAGAACGCAATAGGCCGTATAACGCAATAGGCCGTAGAACGCAATAGGCTGTTTGATACTGATATCTAACACGCCGTAGAACGCAATAGTCTGTCTGAATCCTGATATGTAACACGCCGTAGAACGCAATAGGCCGTAGAACGCAATAGGCTGTCTGATACTGATATATGTAACACGCCGTAGAACGCAATAGGCTGTCTGAATACTGATATCTGTAACAATAACATGTGGTAGAACGCAATAGGCTGTCTGAATACTGATAGTGGTGTGTTACCATGCCACGTTTCAGTTCACGTTCCGCTTAGGTGCGCTGGCTGCTAGACTTACAAACACAGGCGAAGGGCCAACCACAGTCCTCCACCCACCTGCACGCTCGACACTAATCCGGATCCAATTAATTAATTAATTTCACTTAATTAAATAATTAATTTAATAAAAAAATTTCACATCTGAGAAATCAGCTGCCTTGGGAAGCGTCTGTGCTCTCCGAGTGCTCTAGTTCGTAATACGTGGAGTTCGTTATTAACACCGAAGTTCCTTTTTATTAAACTCGGATGCAGTAAGTGCGTGCATTCGCTAACATCTTCAGTGAAGAAGTGTCCCGTTTAGTACGGTCTTTGTAATAGTGTCCGAAACATGTAAACAAACAATGTACCGCCGCGTACTAGCTATAGTGCTCTCTCTCTCTCTCTCTCTTCCTCTCCCTCTCTCTCTTCTCTCTCTCTCCTCTCTCTCTCTCCTCTCTCTCTCCTTCTCTTCTCTCTCTCTCTCTCTCTCATTCTCTTTTTTTTCTCAAGCTTATCTTCGCCTCGCCATTTCTCGCCCTCTCTTAAACCACATAGTTCTCCGTTCCCGCTATCCGCTCCCCTAACCCTAACTGAATCCTTTCCATACATAGCAAGCAATATCACCAATAATAAACTACTCGTATAATTATTGCCCTTTCTAATTCACTACGCATGCCGTCGTGTGCTGTGTGTGTTGTCTGCGGGCGTGCGCCATGCTGCCCGTGCGTGCGTGCGTGAGCACTGTGTGTGCGTGCTGTGCTGCGTGCGTGCGGTGTTGTGTGGCGTGTGTGGGTGTGTGTTATAGATGAGGACGTATAAGTTGAATTATTAGGCGATGCTGATCACAGACACATTAAACGTTGGTAGTAAATATAATAGATTATGTTCATGTGCACTACTCGTATAAATTATTGCCTTTATAATTCACGTACGCATGCGTGTGTGTGGTGTGTGTGTGGTTGTGGTGTGTGTGGTGACCCTGTGCGGGCGTGGGTGTGTTTGGGTGGTGTTCGTGCTGCCGTGCGTCGTGTGTGTGTGTGTGGTGTGTGTTGTGGTGTGTTGCTGAGGTGTTGCGCTGTGTGGTGTGTGTGCGTTGGCGTTCGTCGTGGTGCGTGCGTGTGTTGGGTGTGAGTGTGTGGGGGTGTGTGTGTGTGTGTATCGTGGTGACTGTGTTATGATGAGGACGTGAAATTGAATTATTAGGCGATGCTACACAGACACATAAAAACGTTGGTAAAAATATAATAATTTATGTTCAGTCACTACTCGATTATATTATTGCGTTTCTCGAATTCACGTACGCATGCGTCGTGTGCGTGCGGCGTGCGTGCCTTGCGGCCGTGTGCGTGCGGCTGCGTGCGTGTGCGTGCGTAGTAATGCTGTTGCTGTCAATGCATGCATGCAAGCATCGATTGGCGCCCACGATGTTATATAGATATGCTATATTAACCATAATACTAATATAAATGCTCGCGAACGTGCTGCTAACTTCCAACTGCTGGGCAGTAATACTAACAGCTATAATAACGCATATTAACGCATGCTAACGCGGCCTAACTGCTAACTGCTAACTGCTAACGTCAAACTGTAACTCAACTGTTACTGAACGATTGTAGCTTGACAATGTATTACCTTACGAGATTAAATGTCCGACTGCCATCTGATTAATTGAATCACGCAGGCATTCAGATCGGTGGCGATTGGCTGTGATTGATTACTAATATTCATAAATAATGATAAAATTAATGGTAATTTTCCTAAGTAATTAATTAATTTATAAACTTACATAACTAACATAAAAATGATGGTAAAAACACAATATCATCGTATATAGGTTTTTTCATCCTTGCCAGACACCGTACCATGTCCAGAAGACTGAATTTCACTCATTATCTCTTAGTGCACGCCATATCATCGCCCACCGCACCGCGATTCACGCATTTATGATGCAAATCGCTTAACACCATCACCTTTATTGCAATTTGGCCGCATGTGCAATAAATCGGATTAATACCCCAGATACCTGCCTAATACCGTAATACGTTAATTAAGTAGCACCGATACCTGCCTAATATCGTAATATAATACGTTGATTAGCATTAAAACCTAGTTAATAATATTCGTCGGGATATTGGTTAGAGCAGACGTAGGAGCATTAGATGGGCAGTAGCAGTAGCAGAGTAGTAGTGCAGCGAGCAGTAGCAGCAGCAGCAGAGCAGCAGCAGCCAGCCAGAGCAGCAGTAGCGAGTAGCAGTAGCAGTAGCACAGCAGCAGCACAGCAGCAGCAGCAGGCAGCAGCATAGAGCAGGTAGTGCTGGGGCAAGAAAATTAATTCCCTCGTCTCATACGCATGGGATACTGCGTGCTGTGTTGCTGTTGCGGGTTTGCCGATATATAGCAATCATTCAGTCGCCGCGGGAACCAGCCCGCCATTAGTCTAGATGATAACCTAAGAGATGGAAAAAACGAGCGGGGAGAGGGGAGGGAGATGGAAGGCGGTGAGAAATAGAAGAGAAGAGAAGAGAGAGAGCGCAGAAGGAGAGAGGGAGAGGAGACAGAGAGAGTATGACGGGAGAGAAAGAGGCGAGAAAGGGGAAGGGAAAAGGGGTAGAGGAGAGAGAGAGAGAGAGAGAGAGAAGAGGAGAGAGAGAATATCGACCGCATGGTCCAGAGGCGGAAGAAAGAGGAACGAGAGAAGAGAGAAAGAGAGAGACCAGAGCAGAAGAGGGAGAGAGATGAGAAACGAGAGAGAGAGAGAAACGAGAGAGAGGAGAAAAGACGCGAGAGAGACGACACGGAGACAGAGAGAGCAGATGAGAGAGAGAGAGGCGGAGAGAAGAGAGAGAGGAGAGAAAGAGACGAGAGGGGACCAGGGAGAGCAGGAGAGAGAAAAGATCGAAAGAGAGCAGGAGAGGGTAAGAGAGAATAAGAAGAGAGAGAGAGAGCGGAAGGAGAGAGAAGAGAGAGAGGGGATTTGACTCAGCACTTTACTCAAATTTAGGCATTCAATCGAATGCAAATGCGGTCTATGTCTGGCGCCGAATCGCTCCCCTCCATGCCCTGCTGCTGCTGCTGCTGCTAGCTATATGATAATGATGTGCTGCGTGCTGCTGCTGATTGATTGCTGTGCTGCACTACTACTACATTTACGGCTGTGCTACTACGCTGCATCTGCTTGCCTGCCTGATGATGATGATGAATTGATGTTGCATGACGCTCTACTGCGGCTACTTCTCTTGTTGGTTGCTGCTGCTTCTAACTGCTACTACTACATCTTCTGCTGCTGCTGCTGCTGCTGCGCTACTGCCTGCGTACTGCCTGCTTTACTGCCTGTGCTGCCTGCTGGTAGTGTTACTGCTGTGCTGCTAACTTGATGCTGCCTACTGATGCGCTGCTGCTACTTAGGTCTACGATGCTCGACTGATGTGCTGCCTGCCTACTGATGCCTGCTACTGCTACTGCGCCTAGCTACTATGCTGCTACTGATGCCTGCTGCTGCCTACTGATGGATGCCTACTGATCGTTGCTGTCTGCTGCTTGCTGCGGTTACTGATGTCTCTACTCCACCGTCGTCTCTCGAAAATTATCGTGGAGTAGCCGAGTCTCTGGAGGAGCGGGCAAATTGCTTGCAAATCGCTGTCTGAGCTGTTATTTATCGTGGCATCTGGCTTCGCATTCGACATTCTATTGCTATTCGACAGCCTATTGCGTTCTACCGCATGTTACAGATATCAGTATTCAGACAGCCTATTGCGTTCTACCGATGTACAGATATCAGTATTCAGACAACCGATTCGCGTTCTAACCGACATGTTACAATATCCCAGTATTGCAGGACAGGGCTATTGCGTTCTACGGCGTGATACATATATCAGATATTGCAGAACAGCCTATATCCGGTTCTAAAACGGTTCATATATCAGTTATCAGACAGCCTATGCCGTTCTACGG